AGCCTCCTCTGGAAAGGGAACTGACAAAGCACAAATCCCATATGGCATGTCACATTGATGGCAAAAGCGAGAAGAAGAGAAAAAGTGAAAACAATTGAAATCAACAACAAAAATCTCCTTTGTGTGCAAGTGTGCACACCCAAAAGTCGGCTACGTTTGAAAAGGGACAGCACGTGCGGAGGCGCCAGGTGGATCCTTAGTTCCCCCGATGGTGTCCCCGCCTTCGTGGAGCCATGGTGGAGTCACTGGGAAGCGGGCCCAGGTGGGGAGCCCAGCGAACAGAGGACCGGACAGTGACTCCTTCCTCTCCACCCACCTCGCCTGCGCCCGTGCCAGCCTCTCGGGGACACTCGGGGAAGGGTGCCAGAAGGTCCTGTTGCCCTGGGATTTCCCTCTATTTAGGAAAACTGTGTAAGAGTAGGTGCAAAGGTGAATCTCAGCAAGTACCTCCTCAGGCAGGTGAGGGAGGGAGGGAGGGACGAGGGAGGGAGGGAGGGAAATGGGCATCCGGCTTTGGGGGAAAACACATCAGGCAGCAGCACCTGCTTCCCACAGAGGATGCTCCCTTATGGGTGATTCCAGCAGAAGGCCGGCATAAGAGCTTGGGTGGAGAGCTCCAGAAAGAACTCTTGTGGACTGACTTGTGTTTGTGCCAAGGCCAAGTGGCTACCTATTGCCCTTCAGTGAATGAGGACTTAACCATGTGGCCAACTTGTTACCTTCCATTTACCGTAGCAAATAATACCTACAGTTGACCTTCTAAGATGCGGTCCATGTAAAATGCGGTGCCATTGTTTCTCTCATGTACTACAGAAACCGGTCCCTCTTTGAACCGAATGGTGTACTCATAGCAACTATTACTAGTGTAAATGACAGGCGATTCTTCCTTCTTGTCACTGGAGTCCCTGTAATATCACTTAGCCGGTGCGTGTGTTCCTGTGTCCTTGTATGCCCGTGACTATAAAATTTGTACAATGTAATGTCAATCTAACTGCAACGAGAGCCTTGTCTTCTGGGTATACTTGGCTGTTCTTCTGTGCCAATAACATTTTCTGTATCACTGTCACAAATATCGACAGGTAGCTTTTGGAGGTTGGAGTGTGTGGTCCTGTCTTTCTCATGCAGCTCAGGTGGTCCCGCTTCACCTAAGAGGGAGCATCTTTTTCTGACATTTTATGATATGAGAATGTTATGAATAAAGTGGCTTGGAATCTGCTGTATTACACATTTTTTAAGCTGGGTACATTAAAATGCACATTTTATAAACTTGTGCACATGATTAAAATGTGTCCTTGAAAAGATAATATCTAGCTTCTTTCAGGTTCTTTTTGTTTTTGAACCATTTCTCACAAGTCCTTTGGCTTTATTTGCTTAACACAAAGACTAACATCAAGTCTGGGCAGAATTTCTTGGATATTTATTTTTCCATCACATTTTACCTTCTTGTAACTTTTGTTTCCAGAGACTTTGAGCCCTGGGTTTTCACTTTCCTAACGCTTCTTTTTATGTTTTTGCTGTTTGGTACAGTGTAGTCCCCATGCCCACGGTGATCCATGTATTCCTTCTTCGCCCTCTCCGTTTACCCTCAATAAGAGATCATTTTTCTTACTGTTTTGAATTTCACGGATGAAGCTTATGTCTCAAATTTCTTTGTTAATGCCTTTTTTGTTTAGTCATGTTTTTATATGCTTCCTTCATGTTGAAGACGCTGATTTCTCAGCCCAAATTATCTTATAAGTTTGAATATCCACTGGATCATTTGTCCAAAATTCGAAATCCATGTAGTGCTCAAGGCTTACTCCCTCCTTGTCTTACCATAGACTACTACTGAGTTCCATCATTCCTATGTCAAGAACCTCTTTTCCTTTAAAAGGTCATCTGAGGACACCCACTCTCTGCCCTCTCCCATGGTGCAGAGGAAGACCCCCCCATGATTGCAATCTATACATTTCTATTGCATTGAAGCTGATGAGCAAAATGAAGTGATCTCAGCACTAGCTAGAGTGATTCCTACTGACTGGAAAACTGGCAAGGAAGGAGAGAATCTATTAGTAGTAAGAACTGTCTTTTTTTTTTTTTAATCCTAATGCCACTAACAAATATCCTTGATGTTACAGGATTTGTGCTTTTTTTTTTTTTAATAAAAATAAGCTAACAACTTCTACTTTTCAAATATATAATACGTCAGTTTGTTCTGAGGTTTGGATCTGAGACATTTGGGACCACATTATAAATACTGGTCATGTTATTAATTGAAATGCCTACTGTTGCCATGAATCTGAGTTTTCTTAAATACAACAGAGTTGGAGCCCTGATGAAGGAGCCTTGGTGGTGCAATGGTTAAGCACTCAGCTGCTCATCCAAAGGTCAGCAGTGTGAACTCAGCCCCTGCATAGGATAAAGATGGGGCAATCTGCTTCCTGCAAGAGTCACAGCTTTGGGAACTCTATGCGGCAGTTTTATTCTATCCCATAGAGTCACTCTGAGTCAGAACTGATTCAGTGGCACTGGGCTTTTGGTTTATTAGCTCTTATATCATAACTGTTCAAAATTGAAAATGTATACACAACTATATACCAAAAGGGCAGAAACTCTTCATTTAAATATATGTGTTTGTTCAAGTTGTTGAGCTTCTTGTAAATGTATTTTCTTTTGGCTGGTTTATGCCTTCTGTCAAATACTCTTGATAATGCTGTACAATAAATATTTTCTATTTATTAAATGGGTCTATTCTTTCTCTATATTTTGTAAGAGTTAACATAATAGAAATAGACTGATATATTTTTTTAAATGACGCCAATGGCTTGATTTGTTCAGAACATCGCTTCTAGCTGGATGGTTGGAAAGAACATCTCCTGTTCAGGTAGGTCACACGGATCCAGTAGACGGCACATGAAGCAGAGTGCGGCTGGACTAGGAGGAGGGTCACATCTCAAGTTACAACAGCCTTAAGTGAAATCCCAAATATAAAGTTGCAGTGTCCACGGAAGACAATGCCATGTTGATGGAGGGTGTGATGCTTGAGAAATGCCTGTATCTCCAGGAAATCTCTAGAGACAGAGGCATCCAAGATCCCCTAGTTTTGGTTTCATTTACGTCCTGCAAGACTTTCTGCTTTTGATTCAAATTTTAGGAGGACCTGGTTTCTTTCCTTTCAATGACCCATTGTTCCCTCCAAGTTCCCACCCCTACGTTTCACTCAGAATAATTGGTCCTTCAAATAAGTCCATGAGCGTCATCTTTCACTGCCGTGTGGGTCCTGCAACGTGAGAAACCTCACAGTGTCTCTGAGAGAAAGAACATGTTGGTACAAGAGCCAAAATCCATGAAATCATTAAGGATTAAGATGGCAGAAAGTGGGGCTGGGACACCAGACATTCCTTCAGTATGTCCCAAAAATAGACTGAAATGGGAACTCAGTGTCTCAGAAAAAATGCAGGAGTATAGAGAATGAGAATCAAAAATTAGAAGGAAAAAGAAAAGAAAACTGCAGAAAAGTGACAGAGAAGGAAAAGAAAAATGTTTAACGTGTAGATACCAGAGGTACCCCAAAGGCACTATGTTACCCTTGTAGGTATTATGGTTTCCACTTCCTAAGGGTCTCACAGCTTCACCTGGGCTATAAAGAAGACGTTTGGGGAAGTTGTGGGTTGTGGTCCAGAGACCACAAATGATGTAGCTTTCTCCTAACTTCTACAGAGACTAAGAGAATGGAAGCCACACTTTTTTTATAAACCTACTCTATGTCAAACATTGTGCTACATTCTGTGCATTCATATTTAACCCTCCCAGCACGAACGCCACATAGCTATTTTGGAGCCCTGAATAGTTTACTTAACGTGTCTCAGCTTGTAATCAGTCCAGCAAAGAGTCATTCCATTCCCGTCCCAAACCAGTACAGAGCCTGCAAGTTAGTGTTCTTCTCCGGACCCTAAGCAGAAAAGGAGTTATCTAGGAGCTATTTGGTTAAGACTGATCCTTCATTTGTAGTCTCGACTTTTTTCACTTCCACAACTACTTTAGAGTTCAAATGCTCATTCTTCTCACAGAATAGAAATTCCTTTAGGCTGTGGATCAGGTTTTTGTTTTTTGTTACTTTCTGTTGAATTTCTCTGCTTCAGACAAAGCAAACAGAACACTAACTCACTGGCATTGAGTCAATGCCGACTCATAGAGACCGTGAGGACAGGATAGAACTGCCCCTGCGGCTCTCCTAGACTGTGATTGTTCAGGAGAGAAGAAAGCCTGTCTTTCTCCCAAGGAGTGTCTGGTGGCTTTGAACTGACCTTGTGAGTCACAGCTCAGTGGGTAACCATTATGCCAGCAGGTACTCAGAAAATATTTGTTGAGAAAGTGAATGACTATTGTAATATCGTATAGTTTTTCCCAGCTTACTTCCCTGAAGACTTATTCTACGATTTTTAAGGGCCCACAATTCTCACCTTTGCCTCCTGATACGGACTGCCAGCTTCAACAGCGCATGCTTTCCCATGGAAAACAAGCTCACCTTTTGGCGTCAGAAAGAGCTGTCACACTGAGTAGCTGGTCCAGCTTTCCTGCACAAGCATGCGAAAATACTCACACTCCACTGAACAGATGGAGACGTCTGGTCAGGCAGTGTGAGGTGTTGAGGGACAGCGACCTCTTCAAAGAAACTGTAGGTAAGATGCAAAAGCTGTTGAAGTGTGTCATCAGGTGATGTGAAGACTGTATCACTGATGGAAGAGGTGGAGGTGAAGAGTTTCTTCCTCACTGAAGCACAAGCCTTCAGACAATGGGAAAGGCACAACCACTTACTAGGGCAGGAGGCCTAATGGGAGAGGAAGTACCTAGTTACTTAGCTGAACTGTGGACACTATAA